CGGCCCGCAGGCGTCAGCGGCGACGGCTCCCTTTGGGGCACAGCTTCCCCACAGAGGTTGCTCTGGCATCTTCACTGTATGCTGTGAAATCTGAAACCGCAAGGCCTTACCTATTCAGCCCCAACGTATCCCAACATGCTCTTCCCGTAAAAAGGTATTGTCCAATTATTTTTGTCCATCTGATGACCCACAATTAAGCTACACAAACATCAGTAACAACAAGATAATGTTGCCCACGCTGCACACACTGCTATAACAAATACTAATTAAAGTAACGCACTGAAGGACAGCAACTTTTAAAACCACTGAATAAAGTGAAACCTACTCAGCTAATGGGAGCAGCATTGACTTCATCTCATACGGGCACAAATGCAGACACCAGATTGGAGGATATTACTGAAATAATAGTGTGTCATGGATGATACCAACACAAACACAAGCTGATTTTCTCTCTGTGACTCCCCCCTTGCAATGCTGCACAGTTCTCGTACAATCATATATTCCCAAAGGGGATATTCTCCAACTTAACTATCAATGTGAGTCTAAAAGCCTTTTTGACAGCCTTTAAATTTCCTGGTCCAATTTTTCCCCTGTTGGCATTGAAATGCATCTTTCACATGGCATTAAGAGCCGTATCCACTAGCAGTGGCTCACACCACACTGTCCCTCCTACTCCTCACTTTATTGAGAGAGTTTCAGCTCCGCAACTGCGTTACGCCCAAACACTTGCAGAGAACATGCTGACCACCTTCGAGGATAAAACTAAGGACTAGGATCATCATCATTAGCATTAGCAGCAAGAATTAAACCCATGACATGCAGATCCTCAACTATATAAAATAAGCCAGAATAAAACAACACCTCCCTTGATGTTCCAGGGCTACCGTGCTCTGCGGTATTAATCACACAACAGAACTGCCACAGAAACAAAGGTCCTTTCCATGGTGCTGCTGTCCTTCAAGCAACACGCTGTGTGAACACTCAGACCTTGCAAACAGAAAACGTGGCCAACACCTGAACTTATCAGATATACCAGAACTCCAAAGCACTTCAGTCTGGACTTCATTGCAAGACCATTCCTTCCATCACGTTTTCTTTTACAGGGCACCGTCTGCTTCTGCTAAGCCTGACTCTCCTCAAGTGCCATAAACACAGATTAACATCATCTAATCAACTATCAGATCTTATTAGTTAACAGAGATAAGAAAATCCTAACTGCATCCTCACTTTCACCAGTGCACATGCTGACCATAAGACTAGAAGGGTTCAACACACATTTTTAAAAATGGTACCTGAGTAACACCAGAAGTGAATGGAAAAGAAAGAAAGATAATTCAGCCCAGATGAATGACAGTATTTAAATTCAATAAACCTTCTTTATAAGAACATAGGAAAAAATGAATATAGTTCTTACCTGCACTACTTCTACTCCTCTTTTCCTGGAAAAGAAAAAAAAAAGAAGAGTTATTTTGGGAAATGTGGGGAAAATATATATCAAATGTTAATGAAAAGGGGTTGCTTCGCACTAGACTGCGAACAACGAAAGTCTGCACTAATGCACCCGATTCAAATCCAGGGGCGCCCGTGCTGAGCCGCACGCTGCCTCCGCAGCACAGAGCGGGGCCCGGCGTCTCGGGGAGGTCCTGCTGCCCCAGCTCTCCCACCCTCCCCTCCCCGGGCGCGCGGGCACGTCTGCGCTGGCGCGGATGCGCAGGCACGCGCCAAGAACACGCACAGCGCCCTGGCGCGCTCACCTGCCTACACACCTGCCATGCCCCGTCTCCTCAGTGCACAGGACTCTTCCCACCGCTACACAGATACTGAATGATTTACATCTACCCAGGGAACTTCCAGGTTGTCCCAGGGCTTGTTGTCAGGGCAAGCCCAAGACGCCCCGGCCAACTCCACAGCCAACCCAGGAGCGCGAGCAGAGGTACCAGCTCCGGTCAGCTCCAGGACACGCAGGCAGCCCTGCAGATGCAGCACCTCCGCATCACCCAGCTGCAGCCGTGCATCCCAAACATGCCCTCACACACCCACTGCTCCAGAGGGACTGCGTATCCCGGGAACAGAACCGCACAAATCTACAGTTATTCGAGACCCCAGCTACTGCTCTGGCGCTGTGTCCCAGGGGCCTGAGGGCAGAGGCCTCCGCGGAGGGGCTGCCACGCCGCACTCCCACTTCTCCTGTGGAGCTGGGCCCAGGAGAGGCCAGCGAGGGACACAAGCAGGTGCACGGGTGGACACGGGTGGGTTCATCCCTGCAGGATGAGTCTGCGTCCCCTCCAGCAGCAGCCAGGCTCCCCACTCCCTGCACACGAAGCGGCCCCAGCGCCGTGGGGCTCTGGGGTGAAACAGGACGCAAACGCAGGGATGCGACAGGGGCAAATGCAGTGTTTTTACAATACCCTCTCCCAGGCATTGGGGAATCTGGACTTCAACAACAGACTTGTGGTCACTCAGTCTCTTGGGGAAGCAGGGTTCAAGTACGTGGGGTTTGCCAGGAAGGCACAACCCTTTGAAGGGTACTTTGGCCATACTACGTATAGCTCTAGCGGTCCTGAGAAGTCAGGGACAAGAGGCTGCAGAGGCTGATTTGCCCCACACCAAAACGCTGGGAACCACAATTGGCACAGCCAATTTTAGGCAAACCTGCAGACAAGGCTGGTCTGCTCAGCGCGGGTGAGACAGACTCAGGTACACGCAGCCAGGCAGGACTCGGTCACTGCATCTGACAAGTCATCAAGCAAAACACCTCTCTGTTTCAGAGCCCCTGGCAAAGGGCCCAGCCATCTCTGCTCGACGCTATTTTCCCAATACATGCGCACTACTTAAGTGTATTATAACTGTCTTTTCATTGTGAAGACAGGAAATTTAATCTAAGAACCAAAAGCCACAGCAAGTACAAGCCTGGAATTTCTTGTCCTTTTTCCTGCTAAACTCACATATGAAACCAAAGGCCCTTTTTGCAGAGGTCACAAAGCAGGACTGCAAAATCTGTCCACAGTGACTTTCTATCTAAGTGCAACTGTGTTGTTGTCCAGAGCTGCGACTGCTGAATACACAATAGCTCCTCCAGTTTTCTGCCCAATACAGTAGGTCTTTCTTTTGGAAGGTCATTACAAAGATGCCCAGAGGGACAGGCAATCAATCAGCATCTCTGACACAAATTGCTCCCTTTTCCACTTTCCAAGCCTGGAGTTTCTCTGGCCCAGAAGCAGCGTGCCCTGCACACCCACAGCAGAGAGCTCGCCGTGGCTCAGCATGGAAATCAAAGAGCAAACGAAACCAAGCGCCCCTTACAGAGGATTGCAAAGCCCTCTTGCACATAACGGCGGTGTGTAAACGGCGGAGCTGCCACGAGGGCACGGCAGACACCGCCGCAGCAAGTCACCTGCCGAGCCCGCTGAACGGTGCGGGCCCCCGCGGAGAAGGGGTTAACAGCCAAACTGCTTTATCTTGCCTAGCCCCGTGCAAATCGTTGTTAGGCAAGAAATAATAGGCAGGGAGCGCTTCTCTGTAAATAACTGCAGCAGCCCACTCAGAAGCATTCCAAGTATTGTAAGCTACAACTTAAAATAACCAAAGCAGCTGCATTTTTGCTGTGCCTGCCCCAGAGTGAGGAGAACAACTCAGAGCGCCGCTGAAGCGGGCCGGAGTGCAGCGCCTGCTGCGGAGCCCCTCGGAAAGGCTGAGCTGTCTGCTGGGCCCGCGTGCCCTCAGCGAGCTTTGTTCTGCCCTGAAGAAGAAAAACACTCTTGAGCTGATTTCCCAAGCCACTTGAGAAGGAATCATTCCCAAGGCTTTTTATAATACCCCCCAAAATGCACTCTGCAAATTTACCGGGCCTGCTGGAAGTGGCGAGTCCTGCCCCAGCACAAAGGCAGCAGCCGGACCAGCACTTCGGTGTGTGCCAGCCCAGGAACAGCAAAAGAGGTATCTGCTGCTGTGCATGAAGTCACACGTGCTTAAAAAGCTAAAGGAAGGTGGAAACCATTGGCAAGGCTGGCTTGTAGTGCTGGGTCTTCCTCTTTTTCAGCAGTGGGATTTTCCCTTTGGTTACCTGAAATTGTAACATTTCTATATTTCAACACAGGGAGAAGGGACCCTAAGAGCACACACGGTTTGGAACTAGTTAATCTGGGAAAAGTCCTGTTCACCAAATGGCGGATTGTGAATCCCCAGCACAGCCTCTCAGGCCGGGCAGGCCACGGCGCAGGGCAGCAGGACGGCGCTTTGGCAAACAGCCCGCCGAGCCCCCGCGGGACACGAGCCCCAGCCCCAGAAAAGGCACCCGGAGGGGAGGAAGCCGCCTGTGGGCCACCCAAACGCGTCACCAGCAAGGGGCCACCTGCAACGGGCGCTACGCGCACCCAGATGGATCCCCCATTACTTGTTCTGGGTGATGGGTACAGCTGTAGATGGATCACCACGGCTTCACATGGTGCTTAGAAAGCTGGTAGGAAAGACACACGCTAGCTCTGCTGCCTGTGGGCTGCACTGCCTGCTGCATGGTCCCTGAGGCCGTTTCAAGAAGGGAGGACAGGCTCCCTACAAGCTATGCTGAAACCTTCACCACAGAGGAGCCAAATACATGTGAGATACTTTGACAAACCTCCAAGTGGTAAAACTAAACAGCTCATTTGCAGCACAGTTTCAATACTTTGGCCAGGCACAGCAAAGCCACAGAAACCTACTCAGGTGCAGCACAAATCCCCGGCCAGCAGCCCTGGTGCAGCCTTCCCTCACCACAGAGCTCTGCTCAGTCGTGCACTGTGGCACTTGCACAAAACTGCGGTGCTCATCGTAACCTCCTGTTGCATGAACCTGCAATACGGAGCACAGCCCAGAAGGTTAGAGCTTCCCAGCTGCATGCCTGAAAGCAGTGAACCACCATCCTTGATAACGCAGGCCTCCCCATAGGCAAGCGGGATAAAAGCCTTTACCCTGCCAGCAGACTCCATATTTCAGATAGGACAGTCTGTGGATTTAGAAAAGAATGCAATACCAAGCTACCGTTACCTCCTTATTTCATATCCTAGAATTGATGTTTTATCATAGCCACAAACTACATAAAATAGTCCCATTTATTTATTTATTCATCATCCAAAGTGAATAGTTTGGATTTAGTTTGGATTCTTCCCACTGCACCTAGGACTTGAACCAACACACCACTGTGCTAGTGAATGACTGTTAAAAACAGAAGGCAGCTACCAGGTCACATAGCTAAAATCAGCTAGCATCTCTGTGCTGACTGCTCTGGGTGACAAGCAGCAAAGTTTATTTTTCTCAGATAGCAGAATACATCACTGACAGAGTCTCCCACTTAAGGGGCACACAATAATAATAATGCATTGCTTTGATATTAAAAAACCCAAACATTTTCTCTAGAAAAGCAATATATCACTGGTGGGGAGGAGGGGATTAGGATTATTAACGAATCTGAGCAAAACCCTGCATCCACTAAGAGACTTTCCAGCACATGGAAGTAATCGAAGCCCGGGGCCGGCTCCAGGCAGGCACCCCCGGAGCTCAGAGCAAACGGCAGCGCACGCTGCGCATGGGCAAGTCGCCTTTTCTCCCCCATCAGGAGGGCACCCTGCGCTTCTCTTACTAGGTATGTGTGAGGATCCTTGTTTTTATCGTGCTGGCCATCTGGGAAGGAACCAGCTGGCATCCCCCAAACAGGGCCCGGCCTCACGCTAAAGTTAGCTGAAAGCATCTCAAATACTCCAAGACTCCGTTGTAATGGGGAGAGGGTTTGTTCGTGTGGGTTTTGGTTGGCTGGTTGGTTTGTGGTGCTAGTATTCGGTCAGTAGCATCCAGCTAAGCCGGCATTTAACTAGGATTAAGTTTTCCCAATTTAAACCCAAGCATTCTTACCTTTCAACAAGTGTTGTCCCTTCTGTACTCAGTACTTTTGAAAGATTTACGATTGAAATGGGTCAAAAGTTAGCCTATGATGTGTGGGGATGGTTTTTTCCCCCTAATTTTCTCAGTCTCTCTGTAAAGCATCCTAAATCCTGTAAAGCATCCTAAATCCACAGAAGTAAAATAAGGTAGCCTCTCATAGACATGCATCATCAGCTAATGCAGTATCAGTGAGAAAACACAGCACTTAATGCTGCCAACGTGCTCTTTGCACAGGCTGCCAAAACAAACAAACAAACAAACAAATAAACAAAAAAAACCCTGAAGCTTCTGGCTGTCATAGGGGATCATTTGGGCAGAAAGTCCCTGAAGGGAGGTACAACTTGTGCACTGTTTCCTTGGTCTATATTGGTTGGTATCAACGGGGAACAGTCCGAGCAGTTGGAGCCCTCATACTTTAAACACTCCAACCCATGAGTGATTTTCACACCACTACCCCATTCACGCCTGACATCTGGCAGATCCATCTGACGCTCCGCACATCTTCAAAGCAGGATGTCATCCCACTGCCAGCTAGAAAACTGCTCCTCGGAGCACTGCGGCTGCACAGAGGGCCAGGCAAGGGACTAGAGAAGAGGAGAGCACTTTGGCAGGGCAGGCAGCAGCACCGTCCTTGAGCATCCGCCCGAGCACTGCAACGTCCCCGCCGCTGCAAACGGCAGCATCCAATTTGGGAAGCAAAGTTCAAAAGCCTTCCGAGGTTCAAGCGGGGAGAGCCACGGGAGAAAGAAACCAGACGCTTTAAGAAATGACTGTAAGGAAATAAACTGCCTTCAGTTACTAAATATTAAGACTAAATTTTAACAATGGTTTCTTGAAACACTACAGGGTTACTAATTTCAGCATTAAACAACAGCTATTACAGAAATAAAATCTGTAAATCATAAAAGCCATAAAAGCCATTAAGTCGTGAAACACAAACTGGAGAGGATCTGTTTTCTTCTTAAACTGGATTGATAGCGCAGATCAGAGGTGCCGAGCTCCACATGACTCTCCTCTCGGAAGCGGAGCCCCGCGTGCAGGGAGCCCATACGCCCTGCTCCCCAGCAGGGCACAGATCCTCCAGTCCCAGGCTTTTAAGAAAAGTGTGCAAAGCCACCAGGAAGAAGAAAAATGATGTACATGAGCACAGGAAAAAAAATGGATGTAATGAATTGTTTATTCTACCAGATATTCAAACATATATTTAGTAACCAATAATAAGTAATAATGCAGGGTTTGGCCTTCCAGCATAGGCATGTGACATCAACAGCCAATTCTGGCATTACCAGATCCAGTCCTCTGCTTCAGCAGGCAGCCATAAACTGCAGCCTCTTCATAAGTCAGACACTATCTTCAAAACAAACTGCTTTGACCCTGTTTCTTCCACTACAGGATATCATTACTTCAAAGGACCTTCAGATTTTCATGCGGAATCATCCCAGTCATCCTTAGGCTTCGGTACTTTTTGCCTCCTTAAGCACTGTAAAGAGCAATGATGTTGCCTCCACACCAAGCTCTTGTCTCTCCATGTCTTTAAGCACCGTACGGGCAGTATGACCCTTGGCAAAACTCAAACACGACTCATCCTTTTCTAAAGTCACGAGACGCTGGGGATGGCTGAAAGA